TATGCATCATTTTCCTTGCGGGAATTATATGAGCAATACGGGAGGTAAATGCGTACAATATTATTAAAATTATTGCTTCATGTTGCATCTGAGTCATGCATGCGTGTGAAATTTACAAGAACATGTGATAATCGCACTATAAATAATTGTGTTGAATTTAGACAGGCTGCAAAAATTGGCAAATTTCGCAAATTGTTGAATAATGCTTCATTTACGGTTATAACGTATAAGCTTTAGTCACTCACATGCCCGTGACAAATGCACCTTCGAATTTTATTATGTCTCAAAAGTTAATAAATTCAACCAAGCTAAATAAAGAATATGTAGAAGTTAGTTTAGACACATAAAACGTGTTTATTCCAATTTTATTAAATCCCACAAAATTTGATCAAATGCTTCCTCAATTTTAAAGAGGTACTTGAACTGAATCCCAACCCCTTCAATGTTAATCTGTCTATCCTAATCATCACCCCCAGTCATGACTTCCATAAATTCTGCAACAAAATTTCCAACTGGAGAAGATTTGCAATCGATTCCAAACTTATTACCATCATAATCCACGGTGCCTGAACCATCAGTATCAATTTCAGTAATAATCATGTCCAATTCATCCGATGTTAACTTGTCATCCAACTCTTTCAAGATTTCTTTCAAGGTGCTCGTTGTGATATATCCGTTGCCTTGAATCAAGTTATTAAAGACCCTCATAATAAATCGAAAAAGTTTGAAATAAAGTTGATTCCTCACCTTCTTTGTCATATAATCTAAAGGCTTCTTTCAGTTCTTGTTGCATCGCTTCCGCGTCCTCTTCCACCATGAATCGTGACGCTAAAGTTACAAATTCGGCAAATTCCAACTCTCCGGAACCTAAAATATCAGATCCAACATGCATTCTTTATGTATTATAAAACATTTTATACGTAAAATGTTTTTTTGTTAAGCCGGAAAGTAATCAAGTTCAAATGGCCAAATGTTGCTATCTCATGCCAAGAGTAAGGACCTCAGGCTAAACATTTAAAAATATAATAAATAGTTGTTTGGAAACTAGGGCCTTTTTAACAGATGTAATTTCATGTTTGTTCATTTGATAAAAAAAACTGGCACATTTTCCCAAATTTTTGAGTGAAGTTGCGAAAGCAAAACGTTGCATGAAGATGCTTCTTAAAAATTGATATTACCATCTTCGTCCACTTCTGCAATGATTTCTGCCAACATTTTATCAGTTGTTTGTACTCCAAGCATACTTAAAATGGTGCCTATCATGACCACACCAATACTGCCCTTTTTCTCCACATCGAAGGTGTCGAAAGCATTTTTAAGCACTAAAAATTTAAGAACGGTCAAGCTTGTACATTACACAAAAATTGACCGAAATGGCATTTACTTTCATTATAGTGGTATATTATACACCACAGTTACATATTTCGATAAGAAAATATTAATAAGAGAAAGGTAGTCATAACAAGTTCAGGACAGGTGATCATCACAATTAACTTACATGCAATTTGTTCCTTGGAGAGTTCATCCTAAACCCAGAACAGAAGCACAATATTATGATTGTGGGGAATTAAAATGAGAAAAAACTTCAGTAAGCATATTAAGTAAAAAAATATTTATGCATGTAAATAGATAAACATTTTTCTTTTATAGAGTTTTAAATGCTAATTTTCCAATAATTAATGGAACATATTTAAATTTATGAAGTAAACATTCAATTTGCAAGATAATTTACATTTTAAATAAACTGCCTGAAATTTTGTTTCGTTTTACTTTTATTGAAATTTTCACGATTTCTTACCGACATGTTCGAAAGAGTTCGATAGCAAGAAAATGGACAATCGGGCAACTGTACCGAACTGAATTAATTAATAATGCCACTGGAGCTTTATAGAAATGGAATGAGCAAATTATGTGAGTATTTAAATCTGCTGCAAACTTAAAATAGCTGGCTAATAATCAGACGTTATAATTTTTTCTATAAGATTTATTGCAGTCGCTTTGTCTCTTGAAACAGGAACGGATTGGACTTTTATTTAACACAAAGCCCTTTTGCATTTTCTTTAATGACTGGATCTAAAAGTAAATAGTCCAGAATAAGTAACCCAAAAAAATTTAGGTAGATAGTAAATAATACAGAGCTTTATAATAACTGCTCTCAAACTATCCAAGACAACTAGAAACAGAAGGAAAAGTAGGAAATTTTAGCGGTTTTATGAAATGAGAAAATCAAAGACTGTTTTGTAATAAACTGATAGGTATTCATTTATTTACATAAAATAAACTCAGCTCCCATTTGCAATAGAAAAACTGTTCATCACTTTCATAAAAATGATTCCATTTAAATAATACTTTGGCCAGGTTGTTCCCCATTGTTGTTGGTGGTAGTTAAGTTTAGTCGTCGCCTCCAGTCATGACCTCCATAAATTCTACAAAAACGAAATTGAACAATTACACGAACAGCTCAATTTGAACAGTTGTTTTTATTTGTTTGGGTCCAAGTGATTTATATCGAATCTTAACCCAGATAATGGAAAGCTGACGGATTAAGAGCCACTTTAAATTGAAATGTTTCCTGCTTGCCAAGTGCACCTACCACAATTTCAGTATTTATGTGTTTTGATATGGCCGTGCCAAAATGGATTTTCCACAGGGAATTTTTCGTTTTATTCCTATGTTATGTGGCAATAGAAGCAGCTGAAAATTGCAACACATTTCATGTTACTCACCATCAAAATCCACGGTCCCTGAGCCATCAGTATCAATCTCAGCAATGATCATATCCAGTTCATCGTTGGTCAGCTTGTCATCCAATTCCTTTAGAATTTCTTTCAGAGTCTTTGTTGAGATGTAACCATTGCCTGAAATGTTCCGAAAACTTTTGATTATTTACCGCAAAATGCACTTTTTTCTAAGCAAATATACATGTGATTGACTCGAAATTTACATTGTTTTCGTTTAGTTGGTGGATTATTTACATTTTAATTTAATAGTATAACAAAAAGCTTCAGGTTCAAAGTAAGCTGAGCAGGATTTATTTGCATTAGCGTCAGTATCCATCAGCATGGGAAACGAAGCATTTTACTACCTACTGACCATTTGATGGTATTTGAACCAATGCCAAGCTGAACGCTTCATGTATAAAATGCATAAGTTTGCAAAAAACAAATAGAGAATTTTGCGCTCGACGCATGATGAAGTTAATTGCGGGCACTTAAGGTAAATTGTGTGATAAAACCCAGCAAAAAACAATAATAGATTTCTTAGAAACTGCCTCGATTCTTCCATTAGCTAATAACTGCACTTAAGCCGGAAAACCGATAACTTGAGCAATTTGCTTAATTCCACGAATTTACCTTCTTTATCGTACAAACGGAAAGCTTCTTTGAGCTCCTGTTGCATGGCTTCGGCATCTTCTTCAACCATGAATTTGGCAGCCAGAGTAACGAATTCTTCAAATTCCAGCTCACCAGATCCTGCAACAATTCAGTTTCTAACTTTTAATTGGCTGCTTCAAAAGTTACAAACAAAATTTTCGTACCGTCGGTATCCACTTCAGCAATAATTTCATTCAATATCTGCTCAGTTGTAGTAATACCCAACATGGCGAAGATTGTCCTAACCATTTGGGTACCGATGCTGCCCTTTTTTTCGACATCGAAAGTGTCGAATGCTTTCTTCAGAACTAGGAAAAAGATGATTATATTTGAAACAAATTGGTATAAATTCGATGTAAGGATTCTCATATATATGACCAACGATTCCACGAGTAAAAAACAGGTTTTCTTGCGTGCTTTGATAAAAGCCTGTGTTCTTGCTGCTAAACTTTAATATAAACAAAATATTATTTTCGCTTATATAAATTTCTTTACGATTAAGCTGTTAACTGTTGCCGTAAACTTTTTGAGTGTCGCTGAAGTTAGATGATAGCTGTGGCTATATAAACTTTAAAGAGTTATTGTGGAATCAGCGTCACATTTTGCTCATTATTCAGTCGAACTTAATCCTAGTCGATGACTTAAATTGCCTAGACCATAAGTTAAGTTGTTATTTAACTTAATGTTTATATCATTGTGTTTTGTTATTAATCTCCCACGGAATGTCATGTTGTGGTTGAAAATAATATTTCTGCTAAAAATACTATTTATTAATAGTGGAGATAATGTTTGAGACATGCACGATATCCATCAGATTGGGATTTGTGGATCATTGTAACGCCCACTGGGTTTCAGGAAGTGGAGCTTCTGCCAATATTTTTGAAACGTCCATTTAGGTTTTTAATTTTTTTTATAAACTCCAGATTAGATTATTCTAATGCCAATTTAGAGCTTTTACACGAATTCGCCGCAATAAAAAAAAGTATAAAAGCTATGAGCTTTTACATAGGTACTTTATGGCGTTCAAATTAGAGTAAAGAAGCTTCCACCGAAAAACTACTTTTCTTTAAGGCCATTAGAATTGGCAAATCTAGCTGGACTTTAACTGATTATATTTGTCTTCTATTTTAGTTTTATTAGTAGATGTTCAGCTACAAAGCAATTGCCTTAGAACTGCTGAAAATCAAGTGAAATGTAGGGCGAAGATCAAATTTTACTTTATGTTTTTTTCTTAAAGGTGTGATCCTTTGATGTGTTTGATGGGTATATGGAATTTGTAGACAAATCTGCCAAACATTATTAATTACCCATTAGTATATCAGCGAAGCTAAAAAATACGTTTTATATAATAAAACAAATGATCAAAATGCTTGTAGATATTTGAAAATAATGCAATTTTGGACTTAAATATTATCAATTAACTGAAGGCCTTAATCGTCAACTAATAAAAATCGATAGAGTTCTGAAATTGTTTTTATTATCTGATTTAAGTTATCTTATCTATCTTCTAAAAATGTTTTACTGCTCATTTCGGCCAAAAATATATAAAAGTTGATAGAAAATCAATTTCCGCAAATTTCGTTATTTCTATCCAACTGTATAGTTCCTTTTATAATGTAAATAATACAATGGAATAATTTAAAAATAACCTGCTTTACCCATTTAAGGTCGTTTTATTCCTCGGGCAGAGAGATTTTAGAGAGTATTGATTTTTCTGTTCCTGACTGAATGTCTGAACTTTACATTGTTTGGGTTGAAGCCATTTCTCACTTAATGCGAATGACGGCTCCAGACAGTGGATGTTAAGCAATTGATTGAAAAACCGTATTTAAAAAATACTTGAAGTGGAGATATTCACTTAAAATACATCGGCTCTGTTTACTCAGTTGTTGAATCTACTTCATTTCTTAAAATTTTTTGCAAATTGTCAAAGTTTTTGGTTCAGAAAATGGCACGTGAATAAAGAATATTTTCAGGATTAGAGCACAGACTTCAATATGAGCAGAGATTTAAGAAAATTTCGTCAAAATCTAAGTTTAATTGCCTCCAGTTTTGTCCTGAGGAATTACGATATGACGCTTTTTTAAGGGAGTAACCAAGCTAAAAAACACAAGCAATTAAAAACTGTACAAGCGAAAGAAGAAAATGAACGTTTCCATCTGTTCGTCTACTTTATTTGAAATCAATTTCAGGAGAAATTTTCTATCAACTTTTATGTCCTCCTTTTATGTATCAGTTGAGAAGTTTCAATTCCGTTGAAACTCTTACGACTGAATTAAAAGCTCTGAATAGATGACATCGAAATGCAATAAAATATTAATTTACATTACAAAACATTGTTGAAAAAGCTAGAAAAAACAACAAGAAAATTAAAAAAATTATTTTAGTGTACTTACGAGCAGTTTGTTCTTTATCCAATTCGTCCTGAAAAAAATGAGGAAACCGATTAAATTCGATCTACAGGGAAAATGTGCAAGACATACCGACATCCTGGCGATTACTGGCCGTTCGTTACCTTTTCCAAAACGTAACTGACATAAATTTGAAAATCTTGTTTTAAGATTACGTAGGAACTGTATAAATCTGAGGATTCTTAAAATAGAAGGCGGACAGTTACTTTCGAGTGAGTTTTTAATTTCCGTTAAACAGCTGTTAATTGTTTCCACAGGCGCGGATTTTGGTTTCCCAATTTCAAAATATAATTTATAATTTCCGCTTGCAAATATTCTATTTGAACAGGTACCTATTGCTACACTGTATTCATACAAAATCCTCCTGTTTTCAATAGTTCGTTAATTAAAAACTAATTTTCTGAATTTTTTCTCACGTATTATATGTTTTACACACTATATTTCCTTGCAGCTTAAAGTCGGTGATTTAACATTTCTCCTCTTTCCAAAAAATATAAATTTTCATCGAACAGCTATTATTCAGGGCTATTTCAATTGGGACGCATGTTAATTACTCCATCTTGTCAGCTTGCAAAATTAATGAGCCAGAATTTACTCCCCTGTAGCAACTTGGCTTGGCAAAAATGATTCTTAATTAACTTAAAGTCAACAAATCATTAAACCCGTTCGAATAATAAATCGTTATGAACGTTTCCATTCGATTGATCTAATCTCTGTAGGTATCTATTTGCCAATTTTGCAAATTCAATTTGCGCCATTACAAACTTTTTTTCAATGTGGGGTAATCAACTTTCGAATTATGAATTTTTAATTTTGGTTTAACTCCTAAATAATTTAGTCCCTTTAAAGAGAGAATGGGCGATAAAAGCTCGTTTGCTTAGCGCATAAGTTGCAGAGTTGAGCTGCGCTCTAACTAGTTTAAACATTTCTTGGGTAATGTGCATTTAAGCAAATAGTTCTTCTTTTTAAGGCCTTATCCAAAAAATTATTAGATTGGGAAACGCTTTCCTTGGCTCGGTGATTTTTGGTGTCCTTTTTTAAATCGTATTTTGTCGGCATCTTTCAAACCGTATTTTGCTTTAGAAAATAGAAGATTTGTTATAATTTCTTCTGG